GCCCGCTAGGGGTCTGGCTCCGCCTAGCTGAGGGGCCATGGGGTGGCCCTCCCGCCTCCACAGGGGCAGGCGGGGCCCAGCCCTGCGGAAAGCGGTGTCTTCCTGGGACCACGGCGGATAGCAGGTCTCTCCCGTTGCCAGCATTGCTGTGTCCTGAGAGTAGACTTTAACGTAGGGAACGCTTTTTTTCACGTGGAGAAACCAGAGATTTTTTTTCATAAACTGTGCATTTCCATTCTTTCTTTTTTTATTTTAAACTGCATTTGCTAGATGCTGCTTTGGGTGTACTTTGGGGAGCTTTCATAAATACAAAGTTGGTTCACTACCACCGCAGGATATCATCCCGTGAACACATTAGCCAGCCACTGTCACATGTGTTTGCACTATGTACTACACGTAAACGTAAAAGAATAATGGCTTTATCATAGAAATGAGAAGAGGAAATTTATCCACACTTAATTATTTCACAAGTGCTAAAATGTAGATTTTAACAAATTACTGTTTGTAATAATTTTTCCATGTTGTTTAATAACCACTGTAAATTATAAGTAGTAATTATTGGAATTTTTGTCCATTATTAGGTGTAAAGTGATAAAATGTCAATTTTTTTCTACTCATTTGAAAATAATATTGTAAAAAGATAATATTAAACCCAGTGTGGTGGTGCATTCCTGTAATCCCAGCACCTGGGAGGTTGAGACAACTCTTCCTGAGCTCAAGGCCAGCCTGAGCTGCTTAGCAAGATCCTGCCTTAAAAAGACCCCCTCAAAAAAAGAAAGAAAAAAGTATTAATTGTAAAACATGTGATGACTGTTGCTTTTGAAGGATATATTTTCAGATTATTTGTATGCTTCTATTGCATAGAAATAGGTAAATTTTATAATAGCTGTGTCATAGAATATTTTATAATCTGCATCTTCCAGTATATTAACTTTGAAATATTCCCAAATAAAATTTAAAGTAATTTTTAGCATATAATGTAGGGGTTATACTGTTATATATTTCAGTGAATTTCTTTATGAGGAATTATTTTTCTTTTTTCTATTTGTATATTTGAATTTTTTATCTCTGCAAATAGGGTATACCATCTCTGTTAGGATGTAGTTAGATGATGTTTGCTTTGTAAAATGACACAGTACTAAGACTTTAAAGAAAAGTGCAGTATTTGAATTTGCCTTTCTCTTCGTTTCTTCTTTGTGTCTTTTTTTGTCTTTTTGAGAAAAGGTCTCGATACGCAGTTTAGGCTGGCCTTGAGCTCATTTTGTAGCCCAGACTAGTCTTGAACTCACAACAATCCTCCTGCCTCAGCCTCCAGAGCACTAGAATTACAGGCATGCACCACCATGTCCGGCTTGCCTTTCTCTTCTTTTGCTTCTTCTACCATTGTTTCTGATGTCTTGGGTGGTCCCATTACCACTGATGGAGACATCATTGAGTATTTTTTCTATTAAGATGGTTTGTAAAAGATTTACATTTATCTAGAAAGTGAGCTATTTTATTTGAGATTTCCACACTTATTCGCATAATTTAGATGTTTTTATAATCTGTAGTCCTATCCTTTTTCACATCTCATAATTTTGCTTAGCTTTGCGTTGTTAGTTTGGGCACCTACAACTCAAATTCACTCTTGAATTTAGTTTTTATTGTAATTTTCATTTTTTCTTCCTTCAGTTTTACTCTTTATTCCTTCCTATTCCTGTGGATATAATTTAGATGACCACAAATTGTACTTTTTCCTGGTCAGTACATTTGATCTCAATTTACTTACCATGTTGACATAGTTATTGAATTAAATGATATTCCAAGTTAGGTGATATTCCAAGAACTTCAGTGATAATTTTCTTTTCTTTTTTTTTTTTTTTTCTTTTCTTGGAGGAACCAGGGATTGAACTCAGGCCCTTGTGCTTGCCAGGGAAGCACTTATTCCACTGAGCCATCTCCCTGGCCCCATATAACATCTTTCTGTAACATTTCATCTAATTTTTTTGTGCACAAAATACATCCATAGAATATTTTGTAATCTGTAAAATATTTTTCAGTGGCTGTATTTTGTAATGACTGTACATTGAGACCAAAATTCCTTGTTAGTGGATATTCTTAAAATTACCTAATGTTTTGCTATTATATATAAAGCTGACAACATTTTTATAACTAAATCTTAATTATTTCCTTAGGATAGAAGTGGAATTACTGGCCAAAGGGTATGTATGTTTTTATTAATGTCTTTCTGAATGGCTGTGTGTGGCTCAGACCAGCAGCAGTTGGTGAGGGCTGGCATTTCCAGGCCAGTGTTTTTCCACTGACTGCATGTTAGAGTCGGAGGGCCCTTTTAAAAGCAGAGGTTCCCAAGACCGGCTCTCAGAGGTTCTGATTTCATAGATCTGGGGTTTAACCTGGAGTTTTTAAAAGGTCCCCAACAGATTTTCATATGCAGCTAATTTGATAGGTGAAATGGCAGTTCATTATTTCAATTATTGTTTTCTTCTGAAATTCTTCTAGACACGCAGATTTGGGAGAAGCAGCCCCAGAAATAAAAGCATCAGAGAGAAGAGCAGCTGTGGCGATTGCAGGTCAGCTGGGTCGGCTCCACTGTGAAGCAGCCTTTCTTCTGTTCTGTGATTCTGGGTTCCAGCGCCCACCTGGGCGGGGGACCACGAACCTCAAAAACTAAAAAAGCTTGAAACTTATTTTTTTTCTTGTACTAGGAGATTCCATCTCAGGATTATTTGTTCAAGTCTTTGCCTACTTTTTAGTGGTCATGTTGTGTTTTTTGTTATAAGAGTTAGAAGAGCTCTTTATACATTTTGGATACTAGATGCTTATAAGCATAATTAACATAATTTTAATTGTTTCCATCCATGGTAGTGCTTGCTGTTGTGGGTTTTTTTGTTTGTTTGCAATTTTGAGGCTCAAACACAGGGCCTTGAGCACTCTGGGCAAGCACTCTACACAGAGCTACATCTCTGGCCCTCATTTTACTTTTTTTCCTAAAAAAAACTAGGGATTAAACCCAGAGCCTTCATACTCAGCTACATCCCTGGCCTCCTTTTTTATTTTGAAACAGATAAATTGTCAGATTGCCCTTTTTATTTTGAAACAGATAAGTTGTCAGATTGCCCAGGGTGGCCCTGAACACCTCCTTCCCAGCATGCTTGGACAACTGGCATGCACCACCACGCCCCACTTCTTCTTACTTTTCTGTAGTTCCCTTTGATGTACGAAAGAGTTACTTGTTTAATTAGTTGACTGTGCTTTTGATTTCATAACTGAGAACCTATTGCGAATGTAGGTTACATAGATTTACTCCTATTTTGTCTTCCAAGAATGTTATGGCTTTAGCTGTTATGTTTAGGTCATCCATCCACTTGGAGTTAATTTTTGTATATGGTGGAAGGTAGGAGTCCACCTTTATTCTTACACATCCGTACAGGTGGATGTCTTTTTTTTTTTTTTTTTTTTAAGATACTGGGAATTGAACTCAAGAATTCTATTCCCACTAAGCTACGTCCTTGGTCCTTCTATTTTATAACAGGGTTTCACTAACTTATCAAGGCTGGCCTTGAGCTTGTGATTCTTCTGTATCAACCTCCTGAGTAGCTGAGATTACAGGTGTGTGCCGCTGTGCCGCCATCATTTTTTATTCCTTTTTGTTTAGGCAGGGTCTTGCTATGCAGTTCAGGCTTGTCTTGAGTTCACTTTGTAGCCCAGGCTGGTCTTGAACTCTCAGTGATCCTCCTGCTTCAGCTTCCTGACTGCTGGTGATACAGGGAGAAAAACTGGTCTCTGGTGGGTGACCTCCAAACCATATAGGGAACCTCCAAATGATACAGGGAAAAAACGATCTCCCAACCTCACCTGCACGAGTTCGTGTTCTCTAAAACCAAAGAATGACTTTTAGGAACAAACGGAGGTTATGAGTAGAACATATTTACTGAGGGAAAGAAAGCTCCTGTCCGAGAGAGGGACAGGAGGGGGGGCCCAGCGCGTTGTCTCCAGAAAGTTGTCTCTTGTAGGGACTTTTATAGAGGAAAACCATGTGGTGAGGCAGGTCTAAGGTGGTGGAGAAGACCTGGGAAATGCTTAGTTGGACATGAGGTGGGACAAAACTATGGTGAACCAATGAGATTACAAGCACCATTGCTCAGGTAAAATTGATTAAATCCAGTATCAAATGGGAAAGCGAGTCACGTAGCAAGCAGGCATGAATACAGAACAGGGTCTCTTCCTGTTGGGGGCTGGGCTAGTGACTCATTTGGGCTCTTTCAAGTTGATTGATACTATTTAGGATATCAATCCCTAATGCCCATCCCTAGGGAAGTATGTAGCTGTGCTTCCTCTTTTTGTCTTGAGGTCTGGCCCATATGGGAGTGTCTGTCTCTTCCAAATTGCAAAGTCACCTTGTCTTCCATCTTGTCTCCTTGAGGGCCTGGCCCTGTCTGACTGCCTATAGTATTTCTGTCTAACTCAGCTGCCCACAACACTGGGATTACAGGGGTGCCACTAGGCTTCATTTTTTATTCTTTTTTTCCCCTTGTATTTAGGACAGAGTCTACAGGGTCTCACTATGTAGATTGGACTCTGTTCTCAGCCTCCCAGGTGCTGAGACTATAGGCGCACACCACCACGCCCAGTCTTATTCACCGTCTCAGAGTGCCACTCAAGTGGGGCCAACACAGCACGCTGGGAGTCGAACCCAGCCACTGCGCTGCTATCTAAGCCAGCACTTTAGTCTGCTGAGCTATCAGGCCGGCCTTTCATTTTTTATTCTTACCACAGCTCCAATGTATGAAATGATGTCTTAAATACTCACTTTTGTAGGACATTGTGGTACATGCCTATAATCCCAGCATTTAGGAGGCTGAGGCAGAAGGATTATGAAGTTTTAGACCAGCCTGGTCTATATAGTGCATGTATGACCAGCTTGAAATAAATGATAAGACCCTATCTTTTTTAAAAAAAAATTCACTTCCCAATAACAAGTATTAAAGTTTGATGAAAAACTCTAAAGGGTGTGCTTAGTACTGTAATGGGGAGAAGTCACTTCGTGTGAGTGAAAATGATTTAATTGCCTGACTCCTGCGTTCTTCTGCGCGGGCTTACAGCAGTTCTTTCTGGGTGTGATTTCCGTGGTAGGCCTGGCCTCCCTGCCCTTGTGCCCTCTGGAGTGTGGTGTCCCTGCAGGGTCAGAGTTCGGGCTTATTTCCTTTCTGGGCCAGGCCCTGCCCAGTAGGAAGTCTCGTGGAGACCTTGCTCATGGAGCCACGCCTTGCTGGCCTCCGGCCCCTCCCTGCTTGTTCCACAGTCTGCCTGTCCTCCTCAACGTCTCTGCCATCTCCAATTAGTTTCCTGCCTTTGGCTGCTCTGTGCATCCCTGACTGCTTGCATTTGTTGTCTGTGCAGATTCAGATCAGCTATTTGTTGATCAAGCAAGGGCCTGGTTTCTGTATGTTGGAAGTTACTCCAGTTTCCAGAGCTCTCCAATCCCATCTCTGTTTTCCATTCAATTCTCTAGCTGTTTCTCTCCTTGGGATGTTTCAGATTCCTTAGAAGAAGTTTTCTGGTATCTTTCCTTTACTTAGAGTAAAGGACCTTTGACCCCTAGACATTGTGGTGGGAACCACTTGAGTCATCCTGTATCCTGTCCTTGGGCTAGAGGTTTGGCTCAGTGGTGGAGCACTCGCCTCTTGTGCAGAAAGCCCTGGATTTCATCCCCAGCACAAGAAGTAAGTTGTGAGTGTAGTTCAGTGGTAGAACGCGTGCTTCACTCGTACCAGGCCCTCAGTTCAAGCTACAGCACCAACAGTAAAGTACAATTTTGGGATGGGTGAGTCGTTCACTTAGACCAGAAGTCAGCAGTAAAGTACACACTAAGAGGTCTCCATCATGCCTGCCTGCCTTCCCCTGCAGCATGCATTTGCAGGCAGAATTTTAAGGTTCTTTTTTCCATATCTGACTAGCACTAATAAAATATGCTCTGTAATTAAGATACAAGTGTAGTATAGATATATCATGCTGTTAGACTTTGGACAAATGGCAGTTGACGTGTAAGTCACTCTTCCTACTCTGTCTCCTGTACCGGAGGTTTGTCCTGTGCTACAAATATCATTTAGTAGTGACGAAAGCCTTTATGACAGAATAAAAAAGTTGATAGAAATTTTGATAGAAAGTAGTAGATCTTGAAGCCTAGAAATTTATATCTTCTTACATTTTAAATAGCCTCTAAAATCAAAGGTTAATTTATAAAAATTATTATTTTCATAAATTTTATTTTCAGTCAGGGTCTCACTTTCTATCCCGGGCTGAGCTTGAACTTACTGTGTAGCGCAGGATGGCCTTGAACTCACAGCTATCTTCTGCCTCAGCCAGGTGCTGGGATTATAGGTGTGCACTGCCACATCCAGTTTGTTTTCATTACATTTTATAAATTCTACAAGTGTATCTTAGAGATCTCTATGTTGTGTGTAGCTATTATTTGTGGCATATTTTATGTTCGAAAATAATGAGCTATACATAAGGAAATCTGAAATCAATTACATAGGTTGAGCATCCATAATCTAAAAATTCAAAATCTGAAATGCTCCAAAATCCAAGACTTCTTGAATACTGACATAATGTCAAAGTGGAAAATTTTGTACCTGATCTCATGTGTGACATATCATAGTTAAAATGTAGATATATTACATTGTGTGTAAAATTGCCTTAAGAGTATGTATTTGATATATATGAAACATTTAAACATTTTATCTTTAGACTTGTGTCATATTCTAAAATCAGAAAAAATGTAAAACTCTTCTGGCCTTTGAACATTTTAAATAAGGAATGTTCCGCAGTGGGGCGGCTCGTGTTCATCATCCCAGCTCCCGAGCCCTGGGATCAGCTTCACAAGCCGTGGCTCAGAGCGGGCATGTGGAGGGGTGGATGCAGTGTAGCTTGGTGCTCCTTGGATTTGATCCCTGGTACCACCAGAGAAAGAAACAAAGAAGGGAGGTGTAGAAAGAAAAGGGGAAAAGGAACACTCAGCCTGTAGTACTAACTCACTGGAGCTCTGAGAGAAAGGCTTTAACTTCCCAATGAAACTAAATGCCTGTGTTCTTTCCTTCTAGATTTGGAATGGAGAGAAATGGAAGGAGATGACTGTGGGTTCCATTATGGAGGTAGGAACTATGGGGCGATCACCAGTTGGGATGGGGAAGGAGAAAGGGAATGGGAAAATGAAGAATTACTGGGACTTTATAATTTTGACAATTGAGAGAAGTTGCTGTTTTGGTAAGAAAGAAGGAGTGCTCTGAGTTTAGCTTAAACTACTTGTGTCAGTTGCGTTATTTTTGATTAACACTGCATTTTCCTTTGCTTTGCTTGTAGATGGTACAAATGAGGCTCAGGACAATGACTTCCCAACAGGTATGTTTCCTTGTTCTGTGGTGGCTTCCTGTTCTGAGGGGACAGCTTGAAGGCTGCTGGTTCTTATAGCTGCTCCAAGTCCTGAAGAGGCTCAGTTCTAGGCTGCCCTAAACACTACATCCCAGTAGTAAGCAGTGTTCTCCCAGCACACCTACTGTTGTGATGAGTTGCTATGTTTGGAAGAGAAGCCCAGCAATCGTCTCCTTTTAACAAGTCTGTGAAGGAGTTTTAGTCACAGTTAGGATTGAAATCATTCATCTGATTGATGGCATCACATGCAGATCAGAAACCCGGACCCCAAGTTCGCAGGCAGCCTGTGGAGGGCCACCTGCAGGCACAGGTGCATACACGGATGGGGTTTCTTGCTCTGGCTTCCCTCCTTTGCATTTTATTGCCATGTTACCTAACAGTAAAAGTAGATGTTCATTCTCTGAACAAGAAAAACAGTATCCCTTGATTCATTCAGACAGAACTGGGAACGCCAGGGAATCCTGTGCAGGCATGTGAAGCCCACAGCTCTTCTCCCCATGCAGCTGTTGTGTGTGTGCAGCAAGTCCACACCCCTGTGCTCTGGGTGCTGTCCGGTACCGTGGAGCCTTAGAGCCGTACGACTCTCCCAGCCCAGTGTCTGGGGCTGCAGGCCCTGTGGGTCACCCGGGGAGTGACCTGAATCTGTCAGTTGACTGCTTTGGGAAACAAGAGAAGGACAATCCACCAGGGCCTCCTCTCAAGACTTACTTGAGTTGGTGGCGTCATACACTGGTTCCTGTCCTGAGAGGAACTGGAGGAAAGCCTGAAGTCCGGGCTTCAGAGCAAGTTGAACTTGCTCTCACTTGCTGAGTGTGTTAATGTTTAAAGTGAGCTAACTGTATGCAGCTTGAGCATTGGTAAGTTGTCAGGTCAAGACCTCAGGCTGCTCCTGTCTCCGGAGCTCCAGTGGCCTCCGGAGACATACCGCTCTGTGCATCTGTTGTGTACAATTGTACAGGGTGATCCTGGACTGTTAGAACAAGCAAATGTGTATTTACATCACATCACGTGTGTTGCCACAGTTAAAAATGGCACTATTGGTGTCAAAGCTGCAAAGTGTCTGCTCAGTGGTATCTTAATATTTTCTTTTCCTTTAAAATACTCTCCAGCTTATTTACAAAGGCAAAACAACATTAACTAAAAAACTAGATTGAGCTGTGAGTGTGCCCCTGTGGAAGCCTCTGGTGACACTGAGGGAGCACCGTGCTGGGACAGTGTGACTCATATAGCACAGGAGCGCCTGATGGCCAGGGGCAGGGTGAGGGTGGCGGCTGCACACTGTACCTGTGGCCTGTGCTGCTCCCGCTTAACTAGTGGGTATTGATCTCAGTGTTAGATCTCGCAGGTTTCTTAAAAAATAAGAAATCAGTGATTTTATGTTAAGTGCGGTTCTTTGGTCTCTGGGTGGATTTTTTTGCTTTTCTTTTCCTGCTCTCTTGAAATGCCACACACAGCTGTGTTCACTCGTCATTACCTTGGTGGAGGGCTCCACTCCACTCCCTGATCTCAGGTCAGCCCCAGGGTCCTGTACTGGGGGGTGTCCTCCCACCCCTCCTGCTAGGCTCTCCCTCTCCAGCTCTGGCCTGGCCCTGACTCCAGAGTGCGTGGTGAGCACCCACATCTCTTGTTTCTTCCTACAGTGGAGAGAAGCAGGCTGCAGGAAATGCTGTCTCTTCTGGGACTGGAGGCCTACCAGGGGCAGAGGCTCAGCTTGCAGGACTCCCTGCAGATCAGTTTTGACAGCATGAAGAACTGGGCCCCTCAGGTTCCCAAGGACCTGCCCTGGCATTTCCTCAGAAAGCTGCAGGCCCTCAATGCTGAAGCCAGGAATACCACCATGGTGCTGGACATGCCTGCAGATGCTCGGCCGGCGGAGAAGGAGAGTCAGATGGAGGAGGAGGTGATCTACTGGGACCCAGCTGAGGACATTGCTGCTGATGACATTTACTCTTTCTCCGAGCTGCCCACACCTGACACGCCAGTGAACCCCCTAGACCTCCTCTGCGCCCTGCTGCTGTCCTCAGACAGCTTTCTGCAGCAGGAGATCATCCTGAAGATGTCCCTCTGCCAGTTTGCACTCCCACTTGTGTTGCCTGACTCAGAAAACCACTACCATACCTTCCTGCTGTGGGCCCTGCGGGGCGTTGTGCGGACGTGGTGGTCCCAGACCCCACGGGGCCTGGGCAGCTTCCGAGAGGACAGTGTGGTCCTGTCCAGGGTGCCCACCTTTGCCTTTGTGCGCATGGACGTGAGCAGCAACTCCAAGTCCCAGCTGCTCAATGCCATCCTCAGTCCGGGCCACCGGCAGGGGGACTGCTTCTGGCACCGGGACCTCAGTTTGGGCACCAACCCCCGGGAGATTGCAGATGGGCTAGTGGAGATTTCCTGGTTTTTCCCCAGTGGCAGGGAGGACCTGGATGTTTTCCCAGAGCCTGTGGCCTTTCTGAACCTGAGGGGCGACATTGGTTCTCACTGGCTGCAGTTTAAGCTCCTAACAGAAATCTCCTCGGCTGTGTTTATCCTGACTGACAACATCAGTAAGAAGGAATACAAACTCCTGTGCTCCATGAAGGAGTCAACTACAAAGTATTATTTCATCCTGAGTCCCTACCGGGGGAAGCGGAACACGAACCTGCGGTTTCTGAACAGACTGACCCCCGTGCTGAAGATAGACCACTCTCACGTCCTGGTGAAGGTGAGCAGCACCGACAGCGAGGGCTTTGTGAAGAGGCTGCGTGCCATTGTGGGCAGTGTGGCCAGGGGACCTTGCAGGAGGGTGTCCGTGGAGGACATGGCACACGCAGCCCGCAAACTGGGCCTTCGCGTCGATGAGGACTGCGAGGAGTGTCAGAAGGCGAAGGACCGGATGGAGAGAATCACCAGGAAGATCAAGGACGTGGATGCCTACCGGAGGGATGAGCTGCGGCTACAGGGCGACCTGGGGAAGAAGGCAGCGCAGGTGGAGAGGGAGTACTGCCAGCTCCAGTGGGCCCCGGAGCCGCCCGAGAAGCACCGTGGAGAGCTGAGGCGGCGGCTGCTGGAGCTCCGGACGCAGCAGAGTGGCCAGGAGCCCTCCGCAGGGCTGCAGGACTTCATCGTGGGCATCAGCAGCCCTTCTGCGGGTGAGAGGCAGTACTTCCTGAGGTGGATGGAGTGGGGGCTGGCTCGGGTGGGCCAGCCGAGGCTCAGGCAGCCCCCAGAGACCCTCCTTGCCCTGAGACCGAAGCTAGGCGGGGCCTCGGACTTCAGCGAGCCACTGTGGCCAGAGCCCCTGGGCGTGGAGCACTTCCTGCGGGAGATGGGGCAGTTCTTTGAGGCCGAGGGCTGCCTAGTGGAGGCCGGGAGGCTGCCGGCTGGCCAGAGGCGCTTCACCCACTTCCCCGGCCTGGCTGCGGAGCTGCTGCTCGCGGGGCTGCCCCTGGAGCTGGTTGACGGGGGCACCCTGAGCATCCCAGTGCGTTGGGTCACGGGGCTACTCAAGGAGCTGCACACCCGCCTGGACCGGAGGTCTCGGCTGGTGGTCCTGTCTGCCCTGGGGGTGCCAGGAACAGGAAAGTCCACGCTTCTCAACACCATGTTTGGCCTGCGGTTTGCCACGGGGAGGAGCTGCAGTCCCCGGGGAGCCTTCATACAGCTTATCACTGTGGCTGAAGGCTTCAGCCAGGACTTGGGCTGTGACCACATCCTGGCCATTGACTCTGGGGCACTGATTAGTGGGGCCTTGGCCTCGACAGGGGACAGGTTTGAGCTAGAGGCTTCCTTGGCCACTCTACTCATGGGACTGAGTAACGTCACTGTGGTCAGTTTAGCTGAAACAAAGGACATTCCACCAGCTATTCTACATGCGTTTCTGAGGTTGGAAAAAACAGGGCACATGCCCAACTGTCAGTTTGTGTACCAGAACCTTCATGATGTGCCTGCCCCCAGCCCCAAGCCAAGAGAGAGGAGGCAACTGCTAGATCCACCCAGCGACCTGAGTAGAGCTGCTGCCCAGATGGAAAAGCAGAGTGGCGGCTTCCGGACGCTGGCAAGCCTGGCCTTCTGCGACCCAGAGAGGCAGCATGTCTGGCACGTTCCAGGCCTGTGGCATGGAGCTCCTCCCATGGCAGCAGTAAGCCTGGGGTACAGCGAGGCCATTTTTGAATTGAAGAGATGCCTGCTAGAAAACATCAGGAATGGCCTGTCCAACCAAAACAAAAACATACAGCAGCTCATTGAGCTAGTGCGGCGGTTGTGAGCAGGGCCTGCTGTTGCAGCCGTGCTGATAGGGTCCGGCGAGGCTGTGCCAGGCACCTGTGAGGTGGCTGGTGCCTGCTGCTCATGAGAAGGAAAGCCAGTGAAAGACAGGGTGAGGGGCTCCTAATGGTGTTAAAAAGTAACCTCCAGACCAGCTCGGTGATGCCAGCAGGGACATGAGAGGTCCTGGGCAGGTGGCAGAAGCAGTAACCTAATCTCTGTCCCAGCCCCAGCCGAGCTCCTGAGGACCTGCCCTCAGGGCAGCTGTTTCTTCTTTGGCTCCAGGAGTTGGGAGCAGTGTCTTTACTCACTGCTGGCCCCCAACAGCAGGGGCCCCCAGTATAGACTGGGGTGTTCTGAGAAGCAGAGGCACCCCCTGGAGGCCAACATTTGAGGCTTGGTCACTCAGTCCCGCTGGCAGTGCAAGGCACTTCTGGGCACTGCATTCATAGACTGGTCTGTGAAGCCCTCCCGATCCTTGCCCAGAAAGCGTTCATCAATCACCCTGTCATGCCCTAGCACTTTGTCATACTTCTGCCTCAGCACTTCATGGCGCCTTGTCACTTGTGTGTTTACCGTCTGCCCCAGACTGTGCGTCCTCGAGGGCAGGGACTGAATACCATTCAGCTCTGTGTCCCCAGAGCCCGACACACTATAAACGCTTAATAAATGTTTGTTGAATGAATGAAATCTCACATGATAGTGGTGTCAGGTTCTGCCTCTGTGCCTTCATTGTCCTGTGTGCTCAGAGGACAGCATCTGCCTGAGGAAGAGTATGGAGACACAGAAAAATGGAGTATGTAGCCAGATGATGGGGCACATGCTCGATGCAGAAGGGTTGCACCACAAAAAAAAAAGTGACACCATTCCTTTCTTTTAAGCATTGAGAGGCTGTTAATGACAAATAAAACTAAATGCCTTTACATTAGTCACCTTTATCATTGCCCGCTGTGGGTTACAGAGCGAAGGTCCACACTCTACCCTGCATGGCACAAAGCAGTGGAGGGAGTCTGCAGCACACACACCCATGTGCTTGTGGATCTTTGGAGGGAGGCCGAGCTAGAGTCTCCCCTGTTCAGGCTAGTCTTGAACTTACTTGATGCCAAGCTGGTCTCGGACTCGTGGCGATTCTTCTGAGCCTCAGCTTCCTCGTTGCTGGGATTACAGCTGTGTGCCACCCAACACAGCCTGGTCATGTGCCTTTTTTTCTTAAGTTTCACAGCTTCTAGGCTTCTGCTGGCTACCAAGACAGGGCCTGTCCTCTCACCAATGTCCTTTCCAGCCCAATAGCCACCTCAGGAACAGGTCTTAGCCAGGACTTCAGGCTCCTTCCCTGAGGACCTCCTACTGGAAACCCTGCCTAGGCTTGCCGTCCCCAAGGGCCACTGTCACTTTACAAAGCCTCAGAGTTCCACCCCATCTGCACAACCAGTCCTGGGAGTTTCTGCTTGATCCTCTGAGCCTTGCTGCCTTAAAGTCTCCTTAGGTCTACATTTTTTTCACTTCCCCAAGTGGTGTCCAAAATGTGTCTTTGTATTTTGGCTTACCAGACTCCCAAGCGGTGCCCTTGGCCCGCCAGCACTTGCCCCACTCTGGTCTGGAACCCTCTCTTGACTAGGTCTTCGGATCCCTCTTCAGCTTGCGTGGCTTCCTGGGGCTCCAGGGTGCTCTGCCTGCTGCCCCTTTGACTTCCCAGTTTATACTTCCATGATCTGACAGCAGGTTCTGCTCATATACAGCAAGTGGAAAGCAGCTCTGCAGTTCTGCAAACCCGATCTAATAAGTTTATGAAAACCTTTCCATATTAGTTTCCTCCCTGAAGGAAGGAATAAGGAGACACAAAGACCATTTGGGCATGGTGGTACTTGTACTTGAAGGAGGAAGATGGGATAAGGCAAGGGAATCAAGTGTTCAAGCCCAACCTGAGCAGTTTAGCCACTTACTGAGACCCTGTCTCAAAATGTAAAAAGTCTTGAGATGTAGCTGAGTGTGAATGTTTGGGTTCAATCCCCCAGTACAAAAAAAAAAAAAAAAAAAAAAAAATCCTATCAAGTCAAGACAAATTCAGTGGGGCAAATACTAAGTCCTGTAGCTCCATATCCAGCATCCAGGGCACACAGCGATAAATACGGGTTCTAGCAGGTTGGGCAGCCCCATCCCCATGGCTTCATGGGCTGCAGTCCACATGACCTTTTGGTGTGGCTCTACTCACAGCCTGCAGCTCTTCTCAGCCGACTCCATGTTCTTGACATTTTCAACTTGCTGGGGTTTCTGCTGTACTTTGGCTTCATGAGCTGCCCTCCAGGGACTGCTTGTGTACCTCACCACCCCTTTCCTTTGAGAAGCATCCATGACCCTGTAATTCTTGCATGTTGTGTGCCTGAACAACATCACGTGGGTGACACTGAGGCTTGCCACCAGTGTGAACAGTAGCTGAGCCTTCTTGGACCATGGCTGTAGGGATTTCTGAATTCCTGGTTGGCTGAACAAGATGTAATGAATCCCAGGAAATCAGTTGTGGGCTAGAGATAATAGCTCAGTGGCATACGTGCCTGCCCGACAAGCACAAGGTCCTGAGTTCAATCCCTGGTACCAAAAAGAAACAAACTAACTTCCATGGTGGCTCTTTTTTTTTTTTTTTAATTTATTTATGTGTGTGTGTGTGTGTGTGTGTGTGTCCAACTCAGCCCACCAGGGGGCGGGGCTGGCTGGCATGTGGTGCTGGGGGATTGATCCGCGGTCCCTGTGCTTTGATAAGCTTGTTCTAAGTAGGTGCTTTAGACCACTGAGCCATCTCACCAGCCCCATGGGTGGCTCTTGTTGAGCAGGGCTCAACAAGAAATGTTTCAATGTTTGAGCTATATCCCCAGCCCGTATTTATTATCTTGAGCTAGGGTCTTGCTAAGGTAATAAATTGCCAATGTGAGGCTTTAATTTGTCATTTTCCTGCCCCAGCTTCCTAGAATGCTGGGATAACCGGCATTCACTACCATGCCTGGCTCACTTTCATACATTTGAGGCTTCGTAGGGGGGGTCTTGCTGATTTCTGAGATGCCCCCAAAGTATTCTTGTCCCAGTTCATGGCTCTTGTGTATGTGTGCAGGAGGGATCTTTTGAGACAGGGTTTCACTGCAGTGTAGGCTGATCTTGAACTCACTTTGTAATCCAGGAGAGCCTTGAATTTGCACAGTCCTGCCTTAGGCTCCCAGTGCTGAGATCATAGGCGTGGGGTACCACAACCAGTTTTGTGTGACCTTTTAATGACACTAATCTCTAGGAACACCTTCTTTGGGCCCAGCTTTTCAAATGGTTCTAAGAACAAAAGTTAGGTTTTTCAAGTATTTTGGCTCCACTTTTTGATCCTGATTCTCTCCATAAATCTGGCTAAAGGGGGCCGAGGAGATGGCTCAGTAGAGTAAGTGCTTCCTTGGCAAGGCAAGGGCCTGAGTTCAATCCCTGGTTCCTCCAAAACAAACAAACAAGGCTAAAAGTAACCAACAGTGCCCATGCCACAGCCTGAACGTTGGGCTGCCTTGAAATTTCCTCCGCTAGATCTGTGGAGGAAATTAGTCTAGTGTCCTTAAGCACAGTCTCTAGCAAAGTCTCAAAACATGAGTAAAATATTATACTTTTTTTTTTTTTTTTGCAGAACCAGGAATTGAACTCAGGCCCTTGTGCTTGCCAGGGAAGCTCTTATTCCACTGAGCCATCTCCCCAGCCCTCATAGAGACATTTTTTTTTGTAGAATGTAATATGCATGCCTCTAGTCCAATTCCGAGCAGAATCCCTGTACCTATTTGAAACATGTACCTGGCCTTTACTATTCATATTCTTTTTTTTCTGGTACGAGGGATCAAATTTAGGACCTTGTGCTTGTCAGGCAGGTGCTTATGCCACTGAGCTATTGCCCCCACAGTGTTTTTATATATATATCTATATCTATATCTATCTATCT